ACTTACTAGAAAGTATGAGTTAGAAACATTTAAAGCTTTGTCTTTTTCACGAAGAACCGACCAAAATATAAACCTGTTATTTTGTTCTGCTGTTTTTGACACCGAGAATAGTTTTGTTAAACCACAAAATCACGAGTCTCTCAGTACCAGTCTGCAACTTTGTTGTTGTAGGCTTCTGGCCTCTGCTCCAAGTTGTACCATCAATAAGTCAAATGAACGTTTTGTACACAAACACAACCTACGTCAAATAAAGCTTGAAGTTTATGTTTAGATGCATCATACCCGTTGATGGAGGACAGTTATGCTTAAAGCAGCATTGATAGGCCTGTCACGATAACAAATTTTGCAGGGCGATTGTCTCAGAAATTATTGTGATAAATGATAATATTGTTTGAAATTTAACAACAATTAAATGTCAAATTTTAGAAGAAATGTTGATTTGTTTGGAGTGTAGTACCTTTTTTGACCACCTGATGGCAGTATAAGACTGTTTGAATCAAAGGAGGGATAGTTGAGCAGCGTGTCGTTTTAAGAAAAATCGGAGGAAGGGTCTTTGACGTGACATGGGCTGACCTGAGTTGACATGGTGGACGCTCTGTGATTTGAGCTCTTTAGCATAGCATGTTTCACACAAAGACTTTAATAAAAATATTAAAAAAATCAGTAAACAAGTTCTCAGCTTCTTTTTGCAGAGAACAACAACTTTTTACACGAAGGCACTGGTTTCAACCGTGAATTTTGGAGCTCAACAAGACGAAGGTTTATTCCCGAGGTCGGCCTTTTAGCTAAACTCGTAGCTTAGCTTCTCAGCTTAGCTGCTTTTAACGATCCAAAAACGCGATTTTGGACGGTTACAACAGATTTTTAAAGAGAAAAGAGAAAGGGAGGGGCCAGCAAAGAACATCGGAGTTGAGCCGTGTCTTCAGTAGAGAAAGAGAGAGACACGACGAAACAATAAAACCGGTAAATGAAAATGAAGTCTATAATTTTCATTCATCATTCGATTAATTGATTTATTATCGCGACAGGTCTAAGCATTGACACACTTGTTGATGACACATGTACACACACCCATACAATCACTCATCAATCAGTTCAATTATCAATCAATTATAAGATATGCTCTCAAATCGCAGATCCTCACTTCATCTTCTTTTCAGAGGACTGTAGCTCACCAGTACATCTGGTTGAAACATGCTGGTGTTGATTCTCACTCATGCAGAGCTTCCTTTCTAAAGGAAAGAAAGGAAGTCCAGCTGCTTTCTATTCACATCTTCAGTTCAGGTTAAAGAACCCATTACTTCTCTCAGTAACTAATAGTTTAGTTTTAGCATTAATTATTAACCAAAACCACCAAATAAAAAAAGAGTGCAAAATGGATTATGTTAAATTTATTTGAAAGAACATTTCCTATAATGGCAAAGATGAAGTTGGAGCAAAGTTACAGAGTTCTTCTGGCACCACCTAAGTGTCTTCCTGGAGGACCAAAACAAGGCTACTGGAAATTATAATCCCAGACAATAATCTTAAACCGAAGCCAAGCAAAATAAAGTTTTCCTCAAGTCCACACTAGTGCACACACACACATTCGCGCACAACACGCTAGTGAGTTACAGTAGTCCATAAAACAGAGTACAAGCCTCTGACACGAGAAAACAAAATTCACACATATTTAACCAGGTGCTTTAAAAGCCCAATTGACTGGGCTCAGGTCCAACCAGATGTCCTCATCACTACACTGAAGGCAAACGCTTTGCCATTCTCAACCCAAGTGAAAGCTCACCCAATGACTAAGCAGTGTACATTTATTTTAATTTAAAAAAAAAATCAGATTTGAGGCATTTTGGCATTGACTTGTGTCTAGCACGCAAAGGGATGGAGTCACAACATTTTAGTGGGAGATCTTCCCTTTCACTTCTTTGGTTATTCAACAAAAAAGTAGAATATTTACAAGGTATTTTCAGCAGTATCGCAACGTGAATAAAGGCAGCTGAAGAAAAACCAGCTCAAAAAAACAACCAACGATAATACCCCGAGCGAAAAACTATTTGGGACTGCCTCGGCCTAGTTTTGGTGATGCAATGAATGAACGCTAAGCACAGTGAGTATGGTTCACGGAGTACATAAACAAAGCTGTGGGCGAGCTTAAAGCCCAGCTGTATGGCAGAATCGAGCCCAACAACCGCTGAGAGAGACAGATAAGTAAAACAAAGAGGCCGGCTGTGCTCAAAACAATGTGGAGAATGAGACACAGATAGCTGCAGAGGATGAGTGTGTTTGTACAGCACATGCGTTAAGGTGTTATCACTGAATACTGCAGTCAGTAAGTCTGTCTAAGAGCTGCGTGTTTTGATAACCAACAGCCACACAATCATGAAGTGACTGCTGCTTCAACATGAAATGTATAATGATTAAAACTCTTCCGGTTTTAAACCCCTGCACCAAATCATCCAAGGCAAGACGAGTGAATGAAGCATTCTCCGTTGTGTGCACGCTTTCTCACAGTGATGCTGGAAGGGGGGGAAGTAAGAGAAATAAATGACTGACAGAGATCGAGAGAAGCAACACCACCCATTTCTTGTCCACCTACACATCTCGCAGGACAGCACATATAGGTTTTAGTCTTTCTGAGTATTAACTATAGTCTTTGCGGGTTTACACTGGAAAATTTTATTTTTCCCCAAGTAAATGTAAAAGCATCTCACTGCACAAGAAGAAGGGAGCTCTGTATGTTTGTGTACATCATGCCTCCTTTGGTCGAGGACAAAAAAAACCTAAGCAATAACCTGATATTAATAAATTACTAACCCGCGACCCGAAAAGGAATTAGTGGGTAAAGATAATAGATAAATGGACAAAATACTAAGAGACAGTAAGTAATGATGCGTAACAAAACAGAAATAAAATGGTCCTGAAAACATTTTTAACTCTTTCGGACAAGGTTTTGATTTTTAGTTTTAGATGACCTATAACCTCTAGAACCAAGACTTGAATTGACATGAACCTTTTAAGTGTGCTGCTGCAGTAAATAAAGCTCTTTCTCTGGGTCACTGAGCAGGTCTTCCAGGCATGCAAAGTGTCAGTAAACCACTGCAAAAGACCCCTGACTCATGCACTTAGCACAAAGAGAAAAGACTATGATATCAATGGGTTTGTAAGAAGAGGGATGTGGCGAGTGCAGGTGCTCATTGACTCATACACACCTCTGCATTGACCCGACCATGAAGTACTCGTGATGAAACAATCATTTGAGATGCTGCTAAGTGAGAGGTCTGGGCAGGAACAAAAACACGTATGTCCAAACGCAAGAACATCTACAAGCGTGCACACACATCCAAATGCACAACCTCTGACAAAGACCCCTGAGGGCCAGCTATCCATGCTGTTGCCACTGGAACTAATAGAGCACTTCCTGCAGCAAACTCTACAAGCAGCTGCTCTGTTCTGTATGCATACGTGATAAAACGGGGAAGGGGGTATCTGTGATGAATTCTTCCGATGCACAGGGGTCGTTTGTGGTCTGATTCTCCGTGTGTTCCAACGCTTTCAGCACAGAAACTCACAGCTGGGGTTGAGCTCAGAGAGAAAGCAATGAAGACAAGCAACCTTGTAGGCACAGCAGACACAATGTCTGCAAGACACCTGGTGCACACATGGAGACGCACTCCCTCCCTTAAGTTGCACTTATCAAGGGGATGATAAGAAACTTCAAAGCCACACACGTCTTCAACTAAACCTCATCCCTGCCGCAAAGTAATACAAATACAAATCTAAACTTTTGAATAAAAGGATGTGGAATGTCTTTTGCACAAATGCTTATTCAGACTTGAATAGATCCAGCACAGAGCCAGATGTCAGGCATATGACAGAGTCCAGAACCCCAGACAGAGGTCTCTGCTTTAAGACTGTGCAGCCGACAGTTCGTCGCTCCTATCTCCCTGATGGCCTGCCCTGGACTTGCTTGGCGTGATGTTGACCAGGTCTCTCTGTCTGTCCTGATCCTTTCTCACACATCTATTCCCGTCACGTTACCCGTCATCTCTTGCACAAAAACATGAAGATATTTTCTTCTGCAGTGACTATTACAAAATAGAAAATAAGTTTCTTTTTTTTTCCCAACGAGTTCCTATTAATGTCAAGCGTTTGACATTTAGACACAGCATGAAGGTCAGATGAAGCGGTTTCCCTCCTCTTCCCATATGTGTGGGTTACTGGACAACAGATGCACATGTCTTCTTTACCTACTTTCTTCTGCTCTGCTTGTCATGTGGAAAAAAATCTGATTACTTTCTGAGCAATAGGCAGCTAAGAGGGATGAGCCCCACTTACTCACAAATCTAGATAATCTAGTCGTCTGGGTGATCATATATCATAACAGTTCGGGGCAGAATAAGCTTTTCAACAAACGCCACAAGTGGAAGAAAATAGTGGAAATCTGGATAGTTTCATGTTTAGCTTGAACAACATAGAAAAGCTGTTGTTTCTCACTAAAGCTGAGGCTATTGGGGGAAAAATCTTAAAAGTAAAGATAAAAAAAAAAAATGCCACCATGGTTTTTAAAATTATTATATGTAGCTAACATGAACACAAATGATCCCACTTTTAGTTAAATACTATTAAAAATGATGGTTTAACAAAAGGAAAGAGCCATGGAGTTTTAGGAAAATTCCTTGGGGCAAAAAGAAAATAAAAATATCTTTACCAATATTCAAGTTTCTTAACTCAAGATCCACCTTTGTTTTGTAGACTTTATCATTTCTGAGCATATGGCAGAAGTTCTGTGAGGAGAGCATCCCTCTTACCTGAGCTGACAAGGATGAAGAGATAAAGAGGATGAAGCACCATCTGTACAGTACAGACAGCTCTGGGTATTACGGGATGAAACACACTGTGTGTACAATGTGCTCTGATTGCAGGACCACACACACTTTCACTCACCCTTTTGATAAATTACTTTTAAAAAAAAAAAAAGCACGCACACTGAAGCCCCTCGCTCCTACCTCCTCTAGCAGAGTCTCCTCAGTCCCTGCAGAAAGTCAGCTGCAGCGGCAGAGTTTGCTCTTCGTATATCCTCTGCTTTTCTTCTGTCCTTTGCTTGTGACTCCACGCCTTCATATGTCAGGCATGTGTTTGCATTCCCACATATGGGAGCTCCAGTGCGGTGAAGGCCAAAGCCAGAGACGCAGATGGCACCCAGATGGAGCGGAGACGGATAACAGCGCAAACACACTCCCTCACACTCACTTTGCGTCCCTCCTGCCTTATCTCTGCTGTTTGGATTGCTCTGAGGTGAAGCTCCTCCCGTCACCCTTGTTCTGTCTTTGTCTCTCAGGCTGACTCTGTTGTTGGTTTTCCTTCTTTTCTTGTTATTGTTGCTGGTTTGGAGTCCTCTCGCATGCTGGCTCTCTCCAGGTCTGTGCCTCCCTCCTTCCTTCACAGTCTCTCTTCCTTTCAGCTCAAGCTCCTCCTCTGTTTTCCCACACGCCGTTTCCTCCTTTTTTTTTTTTTTCATGGGTCTAGTGCGCAGGCAACGTCACAAACTCGCCCCGCCCACCCCACCTCAGAGCCCCGCCTCCTACCGCCCACTCACCACATGGACTCTGGCCAACCATCCGCTGTTGACTGGCCCCATTCAACCTGCGTTCACCGGCGGTGGACCCTGCAATTAACATAACTAATTGCTTTGGCACCTAAAGGCTCAACACGAGGCTGTGCCAAAGGAGACAATCATACGTGTGTGCATCTGTGACGTCAAAGCAAGGCCCGCTGCCCCTCCACCCCACCTCACAAGAGAAGTGGGGATCTCCTTTCAAAATGTTTTCTACTAACCACCCCACCTCCCTTTTCAGCTTCTTTCACTGAAATCCTCTTTTGACCCACTTCCTTAACGCAGCCTATAACCAATGGGGGACACTTGAGGATCTGAATGAGTCATTTTGCTCTCCTCTTTGCTCTTATGCTCTCTACACCCCGAGTTCAACTTAAATCACTGTCTGATCTATGCCCGGCCTTGTGCACAAGGTGCAAAGACAATGCGGGTCAACATGATACCGTATTTTCCGGCATATAAGTGGCAGTTTTTTGCATAGATTTGTCAGTCCTGCTATATACGCCAAAGCAACATATACTTTTTTTTTCCATATTCATAACTATTTTTGACTGATGCTTTAAAGTTCTAAGAACAACAACAGCGAGTCCTCCTGTGCACGCTCGCTTCACTCAGCTGGTGAAGGCAGAAGACTGCTGGAGAGCAAGCAGCTCTGGCTGCGATGGATGGATGGATGGATGGCACCTTGCTGCCCAGGCAAAATGAAACTGTTTTGACCATTAAATAAATACATAATAAACACAATGGGTCAGTGGTGATGCATAATAAATGTGACTTATACACCGAAGCAACTTATATTTGTGATTTTTTCCTCTTTGTGATTTTTTTTTGACTGATGCGACATATACGCCAGAAGATACGGTAGTCACCCTGTCGAGATCAGGCAGCTTCCACACACCTATAAATCCTTAACGTTATTCACCTCCATCAGATCATCTCGAGAACGTTCAGATGTGCAAAGGAAACTGGAGAACTGGCGTTTGCTGCATAAATGCAGAACGCTGAGTGCTGAACTAAAAACGAAAACAAAGCAGTAGCTAAATGTTAAAAGAAGCAAAACAATAGCTAAAAGCTAAGAGATGCAAAAGGCAAGCTAAAAACTAAAAGTATCAGAACAATTATTAAAACTTTATAATTGGCAAATGGCTAGCTAAAAGCTAAAATTGGTGAAAATGCAGCTAAAAAAATAGCAACAGAAAACAAGAATAGAGCAAGCATGTAAAATAGAAGTAAGATTTAAATGAAATAGAAGTAAGATTTAAATGTAGATATATGGAAACATACTTATAAATAAGTTAGATATTTTAAAAACAATCAAAGTAACAGAAGCCAAAATTCATAGTGCACAAGAATGAGTTGAACATTTTGATATATATATATATACATATATTTATAAATGTATATATATTTATATATGTATGTATGTATATATATAAATGGAGTCAGCATTGTTATATGTTGAATGAGTTGTACAATATGTGGTCAAAATAAACACCCCAGTAAACCATGGTGTGATGGAAATTAGAAAGAAATGAATTAATAGAAATTAGATCATGTCATAAATGAATTAATATTCATTTGTGATTCCAAGTGCTGAATCAGTAATCACACAAAAAGGCGTTATTCTAGTTTTAATTAAACGGCCAACGAATATAGTCAGTGAGACAAATGGCTGCCAAATGTCATCAACTCAAAACAATAAATTTAAGATGAAGGGCTACCACTCTCATTTCTTTGTCCAGAAACAAGTGGTTCATGTTTTTCTTTCTGCTTTTGATGAACACACTTACAATAAAGCCTTCAGCTGATCTAGTTGCTCAGTGTGGAGTTTATTTTTACCCTGTATTGTAAAAAATGACATTCTGCATCGACATCTTCTGTCTCCTTTTTCCTCCTCTTAGCAGGCCTGCTCTATTCAGGGTGCATCTGGTCAGTCTGCAGGGCCAGGTGGTTGGGAAAGAAGGGGGTGGAAAAAAGGCAGAAGGCTTGCATCTGCATATACATACAGTAACCAACATGTGATTTTACCACATCGAACTTAGTGGCAGACAAAAAAAGACCAGTTTTTACACTTGTGTAAGTATTTAAATAAAAAAAATTCAGCATCATGCAAATATAATTGCTGGTGTTCCCAAGAATAAACTTAAAACAGTGGCATATAACGAACACGTTGAAGCATCAGAATGAAGCATTAGAATGATAAGAGAATATACTGTGTATGTTTAGTGGCATTTGCCATGACTAAAAAAAAAAATATATATATATATATATATATATATACAGTTTTCATGTTCAGCCACATGATCCATCTGATGTAAACTCCATCATCTGAATTAGTCAGCGGGGGTCCATCAAGTCCTTCATGGCCGACCGCATGCATGCCAAACATTTGTAACAACACAAACTAGAGAGAGCTGTCTGGATCAATCCCCCACTAAGACAAAAAGAAACATGTGACAAAGCAGACCTTGAACAGAAGAACTGAATAGATACTGGCTGCTATTCAAAGAGGCTATGATGGGTTGTGCAAAGAGTAAAAACACTGTAGATGCTTTACACATCCATGCATGAGAAGCTTTGGCACAGTTTGTAGAGATGGAAACTGTGAACTGTTCTTTCCTTTTTAAATGTACAGTATACCCATCCAATATTTTATCAAAATGGGAAATTTATTAGCTCTAGATTCCATCTCCATCTTCTACCACTTATAGTTTATGTTGTTGGGTTGCAGAGGCAGCAGGTCCAGGAGAGAAACCCAGACTTCCCTCTCTTCAGCAACTCTCTCTAGCTCCTGACTGGGAACGCCGAGGTGATCCCAGACCAATGAAGATGCACAATCCATCCAACGAGTTTTGAGTCTTTCCCTGGGCCTCTTCACAAAGGGATGTGCTGGAAAACTTCCAAAGGGAGGTGTCCAGGAGGCATCCTGATCAGATGACCGAACCACCTCAGCTGACTCCTTTCACTGAGAAGGAGCAGCAGCTCTAAACCGAACGCCTCCCAGATGGCAGAACTCCTCACCCAATGTTAAATCTCAAAGAATTACAAATAAATGAAAACAAACATGATTAGACCATAATTATCAGACAGGAACTTTAGCGGCCATTGATGTCCTGTTTTATGTTTGAATAATTCCAGTTGTGTGTACTGTATATAAAAACAAAACACAGACAGCAGCCAGATGTGAGTACAAGTTAAATTTCAAATAGGTTTTATCATTCGCATCACATAAGGTACATGACGTGGAACGAAATTGTGTACACAGGGTCCCAGAATCCAACAATAGCAAAAATATAAATTGTAAAAAGAAACAGTAATAAGGATCTAAGATAAACAAATAAGCTAAACTAAGAATACGCTAAACACTAATACTGCAAAACAATACGCCGAACAACAGCAGCACGAACATGAGTCTGTGTGAGTAGATGAGAACGAATGAATACAGGAGCATGAAATAAATCAGCAGCATGGATAATCAGCAGCACATAGCAATGAAAGTGGTTTTACAGTGATTTTTTGTCCACAGTGATAATCCTGATTAGGGATTTATAACAGCTGTAGGGTATAAGCTGTTCCTCAGTATAGTGGTTCTGCACTTAATGCTCTGCAACCTTCTGCTTGAGGGGAGTGGGGCAAAAAGTGTGTGTGTGCTGGGTGAGTGGGGTCCTTAATGATGCAGGTGGCTCTCTTCCTGCATCTGGAGGTGTAGGTGTCTGTGATGGATGGGAGGCTGACATTACAGCTGTTTTTACAGATGTTTTGTCCTAAACATCTTCTGAGACTCCACACGTCTGATTCCACCATTTTAATTACCCATCACAGACTACAGCCAGCCTATGTAGGTCAATCATGTGACTCAAGCTTCCAAATAGTTTTCAGTAAATTTGTTTTGAAGATGTTTTCTTAATAATCACATATCAAGGTTTCTTTATTGTCATTCGCACCCACATGTGGTGGAACAAAACTGTGTACACAGGGTCCCAGTTACATCCAACAAAAGTATAAATTGTAAAGAGAAAAACAGTAATAAAGATCTAAGACATGAACTAAGAAATATGCTAAAACGAAGAAAACACTAAGTGACAAGAAGCAGTTTGGATCAGTACATCAACACCAGACTCAGGAATGGTTTTAAAATGTTTATTGTGAATAAACAGCTTCTGGTGTAGATCAGGGTCCAGGCGTGGGTCTGATCTGTCAAGACAGAAGAGTTAGTGAACTTGGCGTGGATGAGGGAAGTATAGGGGTTCTGAGATCTTCAATAGCCTTCTGTCTTGATGGAGTGGCAGGTGCTGTTGTAGCGCTGGTGCCGATGACGTCACTCATGCAGAGTGAATTGCAGCCGCGGAGCAGACGAAGATTGTAGAGGTCCAGTAAGGGGAGATCCAGTTCTGAGGTTCAATAGTAGAAGCAGGGGTCAAGCACTGGGAAGCAGAGAGCAGAAACCAGAGCCAAATTGTAATCCTGAATTGTGGTCGTTGTTAAGGAGCGCAGAGTCGGTACCGTAGTCAGAGAGGGAGACAAATCCAAGAGGGGCAGGCAGAACGAGGATTCAAAAAAAAAAAAAAACAGGCAAGGGTTCATGGCAAGGCAATAGTCAAAAGACAAGGTACGCTGAATTTCTACTACTGAGGAGATTCGAGAATCTGGCACTGAATGAGGGTTGACAGGGAGCTTTAAGGGAGGTGAACAGGGGGAGAGCATGAGCTGTGATTGCAGAGTGGGGCATGGTGCAGAGTGGAGATAACTGAATGACAGGAGCTGAATGAACTTGGAGTGAAAACAAAACATGAAGACAGCAGGCTGAGGAAGGAAAAGGGTAAAAGATGCGAGACTAAGCACTAATATTACAAAAACAATACAACAGCAGCACCAAACAATATATATACTGGACAATATA